GAGCTTTTATATAAAAATTTTACTTATCAGCTGCCAAGATTAGGCAATATGGGGGAACAGAGAGCTGGCTCTGCAGAGCAGCCACCCCAGTGCAGGCCCCATGCTCTGATTTTCCATGGTCCCCACTCTCCGCTGTGTTATACTCGGGCCCTGCTCTCCCCCCTCTTCTCCCTGTTTATGCTACTTGCTGGTGTTAGTGACCTTTACAGTACAGTCAGGGTACCACATAATTAGGACAGGACAGGAAATATTACAGAATTTCAGAAGGAACAAAGGTCACCTTGGAGAGCACAGGATAGTGGAAAGCATAGAGGCTTTAGAACTAGGCAAATATAAGCTTGAGTTCTAGCCCTGCCCACTTCCTGCCTTAGAAATGTACTTTCCCTCCAGCTCCCTTGGCTTAAGAAAAATGGATACTATAACCTCCCTTAGAGGACTGTAGTGAGGATGAGAAATAATGTATTAATAGTATATTAATATGCCTGGCACCCTAGCAGCACACACCACAGTTAATTCTGTCCAAAAAGTATTTGGTTTAAGTACCTGGAAATTGTTATAAAAAGAAGCCTGAGAGAGAAAAAAAAAAAAAACCCAAGTGAATTAAAGAGTTAAATCTAAAAGATATAAACTCCCTCTTTTTTTTTATATATATACTAAAAGGAAACGCAGTTGTATATTTAACTTTCCTCATGATAGGAAAATACTTTCTAAGCACAAAAACTGTGGAGGAGAGCCAAAGAAAGATCATTAGAGTGGACACTAAAAGTTTTGGGGCTACTCTGTGTTAAATATGATAAAACAGAAGGCAAATAGCAAATGAGAAAGTATGACATACAAAGTCAAAACATCTTACTATCTGTGCTTACAGATCAATAAGAAAAATGTTAACATCTTGTGGAACAACGGATAAAAACATGAGCTGAGAGTTCACAGCCAAGTGCAAACAGCAAATAGGCATGTGAGAAATTGTTGAACTGGGTTATTAATTAAAGGGCTCTGAAGAATAAGTTGCCATTTCTCCCTACTTTTTTTCATCATGGACAGTTGATTGTGTTCAGGGTTAGTGATATGGCCAGAAGACAGACACTATCTTACTTCCTTGATGGAATCGTTCATTGCCACAACCTTCTTAAGAAGTCAGTCTGTTGGTATAACTCAAACTGCTTCAAGTTCATGTCCTTGGACCCAGCAATTCCATTTTTAAGAATATATACTAGAAATAGATTCAGAAATGTTTTACAGTAGTTTTTTCTTTCTCTTTTCTTTTTAGCAGTACTTGTATATGAAAAGCTCAGTCTCCAAACATGTGTACCTCACTGCTCTATCCTTACCATAAGCACAGTACCTAACATAAACAGGTGGTAAAATATATTTGTGAGATTAAAGAAGGAAGGGTATGTTCAGGCAAAGGAGTATCATATGGCCATATTTTTGAAATACGTATATTTAAGACATACGAAGATGCTCACAATATAGTGTTAACATGTAGAGTACACAGTTGTGGAACAATGTAGAATAATCTATAGACTATTCCTGTACATGTGTTGTATGAATTCTGGATGGTAGGATTAAAGGTGATTTATATATTTCTTGGTGCTTTCCTCAGTCAGTCAGCACTTACTTGTTGATGTATGTGATGATTGGCAGTGAGCATATTTTGAAAGGCAAGACAACACAGGCCTCCCCTCATGGATTTATCAGAGTAGGAAGGCTGACATTGAACAGGTAAATTACAAGTGTGTCATTTACTTTGGTAAGCTTATGTTAATTTTATAGCAGGAAGAAACTCTATGCCAGCGGTGATTTTTTCAGGCATTGGTGGTTGGTTGTAATTTCTAATACACTTTTTTAGAACAAGGAAGTGATAATTATGTGAAAAAAATTGACACAGAGCTCATACAGTGTGAAATTACCATTCCAATGAAGAAATGATGTGTAGATATCCTGTCTGTTGGGTGGTTAGTAATGACATAATAAATACATCCAGACATTTTTTTCCTAAATAGCATTTTTCCAAAGGAAATTGAAAAAGCTCATATCTTGGTGAGGTGGACATGAGAGTTGTGGGACTTTGGGAAGCCCTACTGTTCTTTGGAAATTATGCTTCAATATTCAAATGAACTGGCTGTGGTTGGGAAGGAGGGAGAATGTTGATCTCCACTAATATAAAATATACTAGAGGCCCAATGCACGAAGATTCATGCAAGAATGGGCCTTCCTTCCCCTGGCTGCTGGCACTGCCTTTGCCTTGGCCCAGAGCCGCCTTTCTGCCTTCCCACACTGCCCAGAGGCCCAGAGCAGCTGGGGTGGTGCAGAACCTCTGTATCCCACTCAGGCCGCTCAGTGCCTGTTTATGCAAATTAGCCCACAATCTTTGTTGGGTTAATTTGCATACTCACTCCTGATTGGCTGGTGGGTTTAGTGAAGGAATGGTCAATTTACGTCTTTCTCTTTTATTAGTGTAGATATTTTTCCTTTTCCATCAAATTGTGAGGTTTCATGCGTGTAGAAAACCCAGACCAAGATCAATAAAGCCTACCCTGTAGACTGATTGAGGCCCTAAAAGCTTTTTTTAGCTGGGATCAGGATGGAAAATTTTATCCTAAGCCATGGTTTTTTAGGGCTGTGTTTTGTTTTTGTTTTGTTTTGTTTTGTTTTAAGAAAGACCTGGTTAAATTGAAAGGGTTACAGAGATGTGTTTTGGTAACGTAACCATGCTTAATACATGTGAATGTGCCCCTCTCACTGGCTTGTACTTCCTCTACTGCTCTTATCCATTTATCGGCTCAGACTTCAGCATAGCCACATGGGCTCCTCTGGCCTTTTATCTGCTTCCTAAGTGGAAAGAGCTTCTTGGTTAAGTTCAACGGTGACACAGCAGTCTGTTGCCTCTGATCATAGGAGAAGGAAGCATTTGTGAGCTCTGTGTTGCCCTGGTAGAATCCTTTGCCCCATTTTCTATCTCCTGCAAATTGGGAATGCATTTTCTAAGCCAGGGATATTGGAAGGAAAAAATAACAAACCCCGTGATATCAGTGTCACCTTTCATGGTAGGTGCTCAGTGTGTTGCTGTTTCCTATGGGGACTAATTAGAATAGCTCCCTCCCAAGTGCAGACTCACCACCTTCCACTTTTGGTCCAACTAATAGTTATACTGGATGAAATTTATTCAAACCAACCTGAGGCCTTCTCTCATTTGGAAAGTTCAGATCTTAGGGGCATTAAGGGAAATGAAGATCAATTGAACATCACTTTCCATTAGTGCTGGTATTTCCCTCTTACAGTTGGAATTCTCTTTCACTTGCTAGGCCTATTCCTGCTTCATGTTTCCAGGTAGAATTACAGTGCTCACCTCCTCTCTTCCACTGGCCTGGCACCCCTCCTTTCTTTATTGTTTTAAATGTCCTACAAGATCTTCATCTCAGGACTGTCTTCATGTTGTGGTTGAGCGTCTTTCCTCTCTGCTTCATTTCTCTCTCCTGTCCTCGTGTCTGTGCTTGGTAGATTAAGACCCGTGGCCTCCCAGATTATGAAGAGGGCAGCAGGTCTGCCTCTCGCTGTGCGAGCCTTGGTCTGGTCACTGACTCTCCAGCCTAAGTCACAGAACCTCGGGCCTTCTAATCTCCCGGACCACAAACTCTCTCCAGTAAAACATCATGTCCTGCGTCTGGAACACTTATTTCAGAGAGCAACCTTTTGCTTTTCTGAGATGGAGCTTTTCTGAGAAGGACAAGGTCACCTTCCTACTGTTCTCTGGTTGGCTAAGGGGGGTCAGAGGTAAATGTTTTGGTGCATAGAAAAGAGGTGGCAGACACCATTAAAATCAATCACCGAAAGAAAGCTATTTCAAACATTGTTTCTTATATTCTGCCTGTAAAAATTATGAGTTTGCTTGCAGTCTTTGCCAGGATTGGGGCCTGGAAGTTAGACTGTTTATTCTAATTCATTATTGTTTTGATTCTGATTTTCCTGGGGGAAGTCATTGTAAACTGTTATGTTCTCAGAAGCACCCCTGCAATAATAAGCATAAACACGGTATTGCAGCTAAATCAATCCTGCACTAACCCAGAGGTAGCCCCGTGCACTAGTGAAGCAGAGGAATGGGTGGATCTGCTCAGAAAAGAGATGAAGAAATCAGGAAGCGCGGGTCTGTCTCAGTCTCAACTCTGTGAGCAGGGGAGTTGTGTAATGCACCCCAGCAGCTGTGCGGGAGGAGCAACACCACCTGTCGGCTGCTTTGCAGGCTGGGCCGTGAAGCTCCATTACGGCACCGGCCGTGCCTGAGCTTTCTGGAAGACAGGGCCATGTGAAATACCAGGCCTCTGTGTCCCAAGTGTTCAGGAATTGTGGTCCACTTCCCAAGGCCTAAACAGCAAGGCTCAGTGTGCTATGCTTTCTGGTCAAGCCAGAGCTCCCTTCTCTGAGAAAATCTCACTGTTGACTGTTCTGGAAAGAAACAGGAATATGTCGCCAAAACACCACAGGACTATCAATAGTTTTAACATAGGTACTGATTAGTGAATTAGCATAAATTGTGGACGATGATCAGAACTCATCATACCGTGTCTTGTTTAGAAACCCATTCTCCCACGCTACAATGAACACAGCTCACAGCATAAAGCAGACATAGAGTTCTTGGATAGATGAATTTTAATTCCTTCATGGGCCATAATGGGCTCTTCTGCGTTTTGGATGCTGATACTAATGACAATAGCTGGCACTTACGATGACTCGCTTTGTGCTGGTCTCCAGGTGATTGCCATACCCTGCATCAATAGAGGCTCCCGCCGGCCCTGTAACTGATGTGGCAGCTGCTGTCACCACCCCACAGTACAGAGAGGGGAAATGCCTGGCTTAAGGCCAAGCTGCTGTCAAGTGACAGCCGTTGACTGGCCCCTGCAGTCTGACTGGGGAGGCCCCATTTCTTTGACCAGAATTGTGCTCTGTTGCATCTTGATCACACAAGCACAAACTTCAGTGCGATGAATGCTGTTTTCTAGGAAGAGAATGGAGACTACACATATGTGGAAAGAGTGAAGATACCCTTGGATCACGGGACTTTGCTGATCATGGAAGGAGCTACGCAAGCTGACTGGCAGGTGAGGACGTCCAAGTAACATGGATCGCGCATGTGGAGGCAGCGTCCTGCCTGGCTTATAATAATCCATTTCTGTAAACATGGTGCAGAGCAAGTTGCTTTTATAATTGACCAGGAGTTTTGATGCTACTGATAGTCAAATCGGACCTCAGAGAACCTTCTGCAGGAAGGGGAATATCCCATATCTGTGTAGCCCAGTGTTCCAGCCACTGGACACATGTGACTGTGGGTCTCTTGAAATATGGCTAGTATGCGGAAGAACTGAGCTTTAATTTAAATAAATTGAAGTAGCTTCAGATATCTGGTGACCGGCATATGGAGCTGTGTAGGTCCACAGCTTAGGCCAGGCCATCTCAAGGAGAGGTCATTTAAAAACAAAACAAAATTGTCTTTCTTGATTTTAAGGAAAGTAAGGGAGAGGGAGGGAGGGAGAGAGAGAAACATTGATGAGAGATAAACATCCGTCTGCTGCCTCCTGCACGCACCTTCCTGGGGATTGAGCTTGCAACTCAGGCATGTACCCTAACCCGAAATTGAACTAGAGACCTGGTGCATGACAACGCTCAACCACTAAGCACACCAGCAGTCAGGTCATTTTCATGTTGTGTAAATGAATGTGAGAACACTTAGCATAAGAGCAGAATCCCACATCTTTCTTTGGTCTCAACCATTTATTTGTTATCTTACGAGATTCCGAAACATGGAAGGAGGCTGAGAGGAAGAACAAGTATTAGAAAAGACAAAACCATTGCACTGTGAGGGTGCTGGCATCTCGTAGTGGGGGTGGGGTTTGTTTCAGAGAAGGAGACCTTTCTCCACAAGGCTCTAATCTAACGCTGCTCATTTAAGGCGCATAAAATGGAAATGTGTGTATGTGCTCATAAATAAGCTTCAGATGGCTTTGAAACAAAAATGTGTGTGTGTTTATGTCAAAATTATTTCTATTTCCATTTAGCATCGGGTACCCAAAGAGTACCACTCTAGAGCACAGAGAATAAACCTGACCTTTCGGACAGTCCATCCAGACCCGAGAGGGGCGCAACAGTGATGTGAAATCTTTAAGAGAAGCCGTGCCGACACTGCCGACACTGAGCAACTCTCCCACCGTGAAGAAACTTCAAGAGGCTGGTCCAGCTGATCTCCCCGGATGGCTGTTTGGAAGACAAGGGTAGACTGACTTCCCAGCTCAGGGCCCTGTTAACTACCAGCCAGCAGCTCACGTCCATAATGTGTTTACGTGGGAACAGTAATCCCTAATCACATCTTGAAAGCACATATTTTGTTTAGGCAAATTAAAAACCCCTACAGCTGCGCTCACGGATGATTCTGGCCATAAACAGTCTTTCTCCTGCCCTCCCTCGCTCCATTTGAAGAAATCCGAATGGCCTTTGTGCTGGTGTAAATGCACACGTGTTTGCTCCCCGTGACTAAATTTAGTGGAGATAACAAATGTGCGTCAGGGACCCTGGAGCCGTTCGTAGGCAGACAGCTGCGGAAACCCAAACAGACGTGGTTCACAGAGCTTCGCTGAAGTCGGCCTTGACTCCTTAGCGGTGTGGCGCGTATGCTATTGTAATGGAAAGCTGCACGTTCTGGGAGCACTGTATTTAACTGCCAGTCCTCCCGGGACACCCCAGACAGGTTACGAGATAGGTTACGGCCGGGAATAAAGGTGAAGGCAGTGTTAGCCAGGCTGCCATCTTCAAGCCATCACCTGGACTACTTGTGTTTTTTTGTTTGTTTGTTTTAATTTTCTTTATTGATTAAGTTATTACACATGTGTCCTTATCCCCCCATTAACTCTCCACGCACACACAAACACCCCTTCCCCGCTCATGCCCTCACCCCCCTGGTGTCTGTGTCCATTGGTTAGGCCTATATGCATGCACACAAGTCCTTTGGTTGATCTCTCCCCATTACCGCCCCCCCCCCCCCCTTTCCCTCTAAGGTGTGATGGTCTGATTGATGTTTTTCTGTCTCTGGATCTGTTTTTGTTCATCAGTTTATGTTGTTCATTATAATCCACAAATTAGTGAGATCATGTGATGTTTATCTTTTTTTGACTGGCTTATTTCATTTAGCATAATGCTCTCCAGTTCCATCCATGTTGTTGCAAATAGAAGGAGATCTTTCCTTTTTACCACAGCGTAGTATTCCATTGTGTAGATTACCACAGTTTTTTAATCCACTCATCTGCAGACGGCACTTAGACTGTTTCCAAATCTTAGCTAGCTATTGTAAATTATGCTGCTATGAACATAGGGGTACATATATACTTTCTGGCTGGTGTTTCTAGTTTCTTGGGATATATTCCTAGAAGTGGGATCACTCGATCAAATGGGAGTTTCATTTTTAGTTTTTTGAGGAAACTCCATACTGTTCTCCACAGTGGTTGCACCAATTTGCATTCCCACCAGCAATGCACAAAAAAGGTTCCTTTTTTTCCACATTCTCACCAGCACTTGTCATTTGTTGATTTGTTGATGATTGCCATTCTGACAGGTGTGAGATAGTACTGCATTGTTGTTTTGATTTGCATCTCGGATGATTAGTGACTTTGAGCATGTTTTCATATGCCTCTTGGCCTTCCTTCTGTCTTTTTTTGAAAGGTATCTATTTAGATGCATTGCCCATTTTTTGATTGGGTTTTCTTCCTTTTGTTAAGTTGTATGAGTTCTCTATAAATGTTGGAGATTAAACCCTTATCGGTGATAAAATTGGCAAATATGTTCTTCCATGTAGTGGGCTTTCTTGTTGTTTTGTTGATGGTTTCTTTTGCTGTGCAAAAGCTTTTTATTTTGATGTAGTCCCATTTGTTTATTTTCTCTTTAGTTTCCATTGCCCTAGGAGCAGTATCAGTGAAGAAATTGCTTTGGCATATGTCTGAGATTTTTCTGCTTGTGGATTCTTCTAGTATTTTTATGGTTTCTTGTCTTAAGTTTAAGTCCTTTATCCATTTTGAGATTATTTTTGTGCATGGTGTAAGTTGGTAGTCTAGTTTCTTTCTTTTCTTTTCTTTTTTTTTTTTTTGCATGTATCTGTCCAATTTTCCCAACACCCATTTATTGAAGAGGCTGTCTTGACTCCATTGTATGTTCAGGCCTCCTTTGTCAAATATTAATTGAGCATAGTGGTTTGGGGTGATTTCTGGGTTCTCTATTCCTGGACTACTTGTAATACAAGAGAAAACTGTCCCCTCAGAGGGAGGAATACTTGCTTGGTGTCATGAGAAATTTGGGCTCAAAAGCAGCAAATGTTCTGCTAGTGGCAGCTGTTCTACATAAATTAGTTTCCCCTGGAGAATGACTTGAGTCATTTAAACCCAAACCAGACAGAAGCTGGAGCAGCCCTGCAGAGAACAGACTCGGTTACCTAATGGTTCTCTCCATTGAGATTCCAGGGGCCTGTGACTAAGGTTGTTTTCTGACTCAGTGTTCCTTAGACCCAAGTTCCCAAGATTCAAGGCTAGTCCATGATGTCACCAAAGTTCCCAAAACACAAAAACGTGGCTGCCCCATTGCATCATAAAACCATGTGATCTTGACCTCTTGAGTTAGGCAGTGTGCCAGATTAATTCCAAACCAAGATAAGAAAAAGAAAATGGATGGAAAAAGGGCAGGAGCATTAGTTTCCCTATCTGCCCGTGGGGAAAATTTACAGAGCCTCCTTGCTTTTGGTCTTGTTTCCATTCGGTGCTGTAAGGCTGATGGTCCCAAGATCGGGGGGCAAAGTGCTAGAGGCTAGGCGGGCTCTTCCTCGAGATCCGGTGTAGCACCACACCTGACCAGGCTCTGCTCTGTCAGGCTGTCCTGCAAGCTCTTGGCTTCTTGCATTGGCGTCCCTCCACCTTTTCTGTTAATGCTGTTACCTGAGTACTGCTCCTTTCTCTGAGAAATTCTAAATGCTTCATAAAATCTGACCATCATACTAAGCCTTCCTGTGAGGGAGGTACAAATCACCATAAAAACAAAGCCTCTCTTTAATCCCCAGCTTTCCTCCTATTAAAACAAACAGAAGCTGGGTAGGGTGGTGTGGCCAGCTTCAGTTCTGAGTGTGACACCTGACACGGGGAAATTCCTCTTCCATTCCCAGACATGAAGGGACTGGCAGATGATCCCAGGTCTTACAGCATCCCTCCTAATGTAGGGCCTGACCTCCCCTGCGTCAACCTCATCACTCATCGCAGCTCCGTCTGCCAGCGAGGCAAGTGCTGGCTTTTTTCAGCTGAGAGCCGCCCGAGGTCTTGTTTCCTGCTGCCCAGTGCCAGAACCGCTATTTTTCCTGCCACGAAAATAGTGTCCCTCCTGAAATGTGCAGGAGGGACTCGCCATGGAGTCATAGGACAGGGTTTAGGATGAGACAGGAATTCCAGACCCTAATGGGGGCAGCCCTGCTCAGTGACAGCACCGCCACTGCTGGGCTTTGCTGGTGGTAGGTCTTCCCTGGGATTAGGAATGAAGCTGTTTTATTAACATTCCTGACGAAGCAGAGGAAGCAAATGTGATGGCAATAGCATGTGGAAAACACAGGTTTCGTTTTTTAGCTGCCCTTTATTTGAGCTTTAATATCCTGCCACACACTGTCCTAGGAGTGTTTTATACAGATCCCCTAGTCTTCAAAGTCCTGCTAGAAAGATGCTGTTTCCATGACAGACACCAAGAAGCTGAGTCTCCAAGAGCGTAAGAAATTTAACAGGACTTAGAAATGGCAGAACCAGAATTCAAAGCACACGCCAGTCCCTAAACTGTGCTGCTACCTCTGCCTTTCTGAATGTAGGCAGAGTGGTCTGCTCAGCATCCCCGGGCCCTGAGCTCAGGGTTTGCTCATGCAGAACTGGTAACCCAGCCACCCCATGCCTGCTGGCAAGGCTGGTGCCCCAGCAGCCCCATTGCTGCTGGAAGAGCTGACGACCAGGCCACCTTGTTTGTACCCTGGCTTTCCTGGGCATCAGGGCAGCATCTGTAACTCCTCCCGTTCAACCTGGCATCTCCTCATCAGACACCACGTGCCACTTGGACTAGTCATTGGCCATTTTACTGGGGAAGCTCATTTGTGGGGAAAGAATCCAGTTTCTGGCAAGTGAGACAAGTCCTCATCCAACCTTCCTGGCAGTGTTTCCTGACCATGTCTAAGAGACTTTCAGAGGTAGGTGCGTGGTCCTCACCATTCCTACCTGTGAGTACATTTGGAGACTGTGAATGATGCCCAGACTCAGCATCAGGCTCTTCACAACATTTCACAGTGCCAGTCAACAGCCCAGAGAAACGCTTGCCTCAAAGCGCAGGTCGGAACAACGCGTGCCTGGCATCAGAGCATATGCGCAGTATGGAAATAGGGCCCACTGGCTCAGGCGGTCTCAGGGATTCCCAGTAAGTGTGGGACACAGCTCGTAAATCTGGCATGTCCTCGTGGCACACCCTCCTACTGAAGCCTCCAGGATGATGTGACCCTGCCCTGGTGTGTGCAGGTCTGTCTGGACCTGGTCAGCAGCTGGCACCTTCTCTTGACTTGTGTCACGGCAACCCCAGAAGAGCTGAGTGAGCGCATGATGAGCAGAATGCTCCTCAGAGGGCTTGAGAGGAAGCCTGACATGATGGGTCCCTGCCCTTCGGGGAATGTCTCCTCGAGTTCTGGCGGCTTCTATTTGGCTGCAAAATATCTTAGACTCGCTTTGCCTTTTCTGGAAATAAACATTTGTAGTGTTGAGTCTGAAATCTTTTTTTTTTTTTTTTAATCCTCACCTGAGGATATTTTCCCATTGATTTTGAGAGAGGGGAAGACAAAGAGAAAAATATCCATGTGAGAGAAACACATTGATAGGTTGTCCCTTGCACATGTCTTGACCAGGCCCTGAGCTGGGGAGGAGCCTGCAACCTCTACATGCCCTTGACCAGGATTGAACCTGGGACCCTTCGGTCTGCAGGCCGATGCTCTATCCGTGGAGCCACACCAGCTAAAGCTGAATCTGAATTCTTGATTATTTCTCTTAACAATGCCTTGGAAAAAGCCAAATGTTTTCATAGCAACGCATTATGTTTGTTTAAATCT